CCCCTGTGTATCCTTTCCAAGACACCTTCCGAAAGGGAAACTGGAATAACTAATCTTCAGTCATAAACTAGTAAGCCATCTATGATTCAAAATGTTGCTAGGGATCAAAGAAATTGTGTGTGCTGCACAATCGGTCTGGCCATCCTTCACTGAAATACTGATGAATAGTAGGATATTCTTGGTCACTCTATTTATTGTTGAATTTGCTTGAGCATCATTTGACTTACTGGTTTTTTCACAGCCACAAGAAAACCTCCTGCCATCATCATTAATCTCAATAGATTCTCCCCTCATTTCGGGTTCCACCAGGTACAAGTAACATTGGCCACTTAAACATAATTGCTAAGACTATCAAGAGCCAGGAATGATACATCTGTCTCCAGTTAGCATTTGAGCTAGTCTCTTCTTGTTCCTATCCAAGACTCTATGATGTCATCAGGCTGGGTAGAGATGCATGCAGTCTCCAACATTAACCCTTTCAGAACCACTACCTTAAACAAAGAGGAGACTGGAACTCAAGGAAGCAGTTTAAAAACAAGAGGTCCCATTTAAGACAGAGATGAGCAGAAATATTTTCTGTCAGAGGGATGTTAGTTGTGGAATTCTCTTACCCAGAAAACAGTTAATGCTGGGTAATTGAATTTATGCAAGGCTGAGTTAGCTGGATTTTTGATGGACAAGGGTTATTCGGTGGAGACAGGAAGTTGGAGCTGACATCACAACCAGATCAGTTATTGAATGGAGTATGCTCATGGGAATGAATGCCCCTTCCTGCTCCTGAGTCCAATGTTTCTACAATCATTGAATGATGGAACAGATTTTAGGGGCTGAATGGTCTCCTGCTCTACTTACATGTCAAGCTTTAATTCCACTTCTCTTGGCACTCCTGGATTTTCCAGTAAAATCAAAAAGATTCATGCACTTTTAACCAATTTAGGAGATTTCTGCAAACCAAATACTTTGTTCAAAAACTCAATTATATTGAGGAAAAATACTTGACAAAATCCTGGTGTTAACTTACAGGAGGTCAGTGGTGCCGTGTGAAGATTTTGCTGTCAGTGTTAAACCACATACAATTTTATGGTGGGACAAGACAGTTCTTTAGATCAAAGTGAAGCTGATATACATAAGGAAGACCTTTCAAATTTGAATCAATGAACCCAATCTCAAGAATGACATTTCAAAGTTGAAGCAAAAATAAACAACGCAGATTTAGCTGTAATCATTATGAAGAGAAGGATGTTGTCAATATACAAGCAATGTGGATTATTTATGCTGCCTATTTCTATGTGGTTGATTTTCTATGAAAATTTAATGTAAATATTGAATGTCATAAAACTAATTCACCAGAGCAGATTCAAATTTTTTTTTTAAGAAAACAGCAATTGCTGGAAACCTGCAATGGGTTGATTTGTATGTATGGTCTAACCTTTTGAGGTAGATGATTTATGTAGCTGCACATAAAGGCTGACAGGTGAGTTTTGACATCCTTTCTAGAGGACCTTTCACATGGAAAATATCCCAAGGTCAAAGGCATTAGAGGAGGAGGAAACCTATTGATTTCAGCTACCTGTGACTCCAGACCCATAGCAATGTGGTTGATTCTTAATAACCCTCTGAAATGACTGAGCAGGATTTTGTGCAACTTGAAAGGGTTGAGAGAAGATTTACAAGGATGTCGCCAGGATTGGAGGGTTTGATCAATAGGGAGAGGCTGAATAGGCTGGGGCTATTTTCCCTGGAGCGTCGGAGGCTGAGGAATGACCTTATCGAGGTTTATAAAAGCAGGAGGGGCATGGATAAGGTAAATGGCCAAGGTCTTTTCCCCATTGTGGGGGAGCCTAGACTAGAGGGCATAGGTTTAAGGAGAGAGGGGAAAGATTTAAAAGGGACCTAAATGGCAACTTTTTCACACAGAGGGTGGTGCGTGTATGGAGTGAACTGCCAGAGGAAGTGGTGAAGGCTGGCACAATTACAACATTTAAAAGTCAACTGGATGGGTATGTGAACAGGAAGGGTTTAGAGGGACATGGGCCAAGTGCTGGCAAATGGGACTAGATTAATTTAGGATATCTGGACCGAAGAGTCTGTTTCCGTGCTGTACAGTTCTATGACTCTATAAATTGTTATAAAGCTCAAAAAAAGAAATGGAACTGGATAGACTTTGACTAAGGCACCAGGGCATGACAATGGCATACCCAGTTCTGCCAACTCTGCAAAGTCCTCTTTACCAACATCCAGCAGCTCGTTCCAAAATCAGGAGAGCTGTCCCACAGATGATCAAGCAACAGCTTGACACATTCATCCTCACAGAACCATATCTTGTGTATATTTAAGGCTGAGAGAGATAGACTTTTGTTCAGTAGGGGAATCAAAGGTTATGGGGAATTGGCAGGAAACTGGACATGAGGTGTATTGGATCAGCCATTATCCTATTGATTGGCAGAGCAGGCTTGAGGGGCTGAATGGCCTACTCCTGTTCCTATTTCTTAGGACTTACAGTCCCTTAGCTACTGATAAGGTTCCATTACCATACCAGGTTATGTCCCACTGAGAAGACAGAAACCCCAGAGGGAAAGGGCTGTTCTGTTTTCCCGGTCACTAGGATTAAGTGATTATTCACAGAGAAATTTCGCTCAATGCACCATCACCTCTTCAATGTCTGCAGAGTAGACAGATGACGGTTTGTCATTTTATAGAGATGTAGCTGAAAGACGAAACTTTTGTTTGGTGATGAACCTTTCTATTTCCAACTTCCCCAATTCAGTCAAGGTGACATTTGATGATCAGTGAGCTGGATGAGAGAAAGAACTGGTTCAAAATCTAGATTTCTAGCCTCACTGTCTGCCCGCTCCATGCATGATTCTCAGTGGATTCAGTGACTCATAAACCAGGGACATAATGATGTTTATTGACAATTGCTGCAGTCACCGAAATATTTTCCAAACACTTCCTGGAATAAAGCACTTTAAAAAGATGAATGTTTTCTTGGTAATATATTGGGTGGGGGCTGGCAGTGGGTATAACAAAACCTAGAGTGTGGGTTTTGGAGAGCGTGATTATGCGCAACAGATATACCGGAGTTCTCCATTGATACAGCAAATCTACAGGACAAAACAAAGAAAACAACTTGCAATTATAGCTTCTTCTTAAGCTGTTCTTTGGGATCAAGGGTAAAGTACTTCCACTCCAGTCTGATGGGTTCTCAGGTGGCTGATAAATTTAGTGTGCTAGCCCGTGGTGTGTGTGTGTGTGTGTGTGTGTACACTCCCTCCAATGTCTCAACTTCACCTGTCTGTATTCACCATGACATCTCTGGATGTGTTAGCTGTTTTTCTGACTGGTTAAATGCATCTGTCATCTCTTTCTAATGGACTCCCCCAGTCCGTGGGCTTCCAAATCTCTTTGGGAAACCTTCCCATTATAATCCAATATTATCCTTAACCTCTTTAGTAAGCCATTGATTGACCATTTCCCTGTGGGATTTTTATTTTTTAATGTTGAGAATTATGAAATATTTATTTGAACATAACACATCTCTTGTCTACGATCCTATGTTTTAATCCCATTTATTCACCTGCTTTACCTAACCTACACCGCATATCAATGTAATTGGCTTTATTTAAGTTCAATACTCTAGTTTCAAACTTAATGAACCACTCCAACTCAACGTGAAATTCTATCATTATGCTCGCTCTTCCTCAAAGGATGAAATTACTAATTAACCCTGTCTCATTACAGAGGAGAAAATCAAAAATACCTCCTTCCCTGCTTAGTTTCAGAATAGTTCTAGGAAATTGCCTCAAACGCACTCCAATGAACTTACCTTCCAAACTAATTCTGACAATTTTCATTTGTCTAATTTACCTGAAGCTACAAATTTATTTCTTTGCCTTTGTGATAAGATTATCTTAAATATTGATTGATACTTTGTCAACATCATAAGTACTACTACCAGGCTTTGTAAATTAACATAAGCTATTTTCATATCTGCACCCCCCTCTCCAAATGAGTTTGTCATTTAAAATCATTCTCCCGCTTTCTCCCCCTAACCTTGCACATCGTTCCTTTTTGTATAAGAGTCTAATTCCCTTTGAATGTCTTGATTGAACCCACTGTCAGGCAGTGCATTCCAGACCCGAGCTCTCACTGTGTGAGAAAGCTTTTCCACACATCACTTTCGCTTATTTATTAATCATTTTAAATCTCTCTCATTATCAATCTTTCCACAAGACTTTGCAGTTACACCCACAGCACTAGGTACTGGTTCTGGGCACAGATTCACATCTGGAGCTCAAGGTACAGTTCTGGACATTTGTTCCGACCTGGAGTGCTGGGACACAATACAGTTCGGGGCACTGGGAAATACACATCTGGAGCACTGGGTGCATATGGAGTCATAGAGTTGTGTAGCTCTGAAATGGACCCTTCGATCTAACTCATCCATGCCAACCAGATATCCTAAATTAATCTAGTCCCATTTGCCAGCATTTGGCCCTCAAAACCCTTCTTATTCATATACCTGTCCAGATGCCTTTTAAATGTTGTAATTGTACCTGCCTCCACCACTTCCTCTGGCAGCTCATTGCATACAAGCACTACCAACTGTGTGCAACATAGCCTCCCAACGTCTATACTCAATCCACTGACCAATAACGGCAAGCATACCAAACACCTTCTTCACTATCCTGTCTACCTGCGACTCCACCTTCAAGAAACTGGACAGCCTGGCATTGGATCACATCTGAAACACTGGGTACAGTTCCGGGCAATGGTTCAACATTGGATTACTGGGTACAGTTCTGGACAGTGACTCACACCTGACTTCTGGGGCACTGGGTATAGTTGACCTTAAGTAAACAATTAACAGGTATCTTTAAAAATAGCTGCAAGGAATACATGGGCAGTTGTCGAGTCAGATATTTCTTTGCCTGGTATAAAACATAGCCACATACCAAAGCCTGTCAATAGCGTGTGACCTTTCTCTTCTCCTGTTGCAGGTGTCAGTGGCTGCTCTGGGATGACTGGCCCACAAGCTAATTACCAGACACCCACCAGAAAGCACATCCTGATCTTTGCCACCACCAGGAGTGGATCATCCTTCCTAGGACAGTTATTCAATCAGCACCCTGCTATCTTTTATCTGTATGAGCCTCTCTATCATGTGCAACAGGTATTTGCAAACACAAGTACCAGAATGAGGAATGCGTTGGACAGACGGGCTCTCCTGGGGGCACACAGGGACCTGCTCCGCAACTTGTTTGACTGTAACCTGAATTTCCTGGAGAATTACATGAAACCTGTGCCCAGGGACCATGAGACCACCGTGTTGTTCCGGAGGGGGGCGAGTAATGCTCTGTGTGAGCCCCCACTTTGCCATTGGGATCAGGGTTCAAAGGAGGTGATTGAGCATCTCTGTGCCAAGCGGTGTAGGGCACTGAACCTGACCCTGGCATCACAGGTTTGTCAGGCACGACCTCATGTGGCCATCAAGACCGTCAGGATCCCCGAGATCAAAGATATCCGCTTACTGAGTGATGACCCCAGGCTCAACCTGAAGATCATCCACCTGGTCCGAGATCCCAGAGGCATACTCACCTCCAGGATGGGCACTTTCACGGACAATTTCCGAGCCTGGAAAATCTGGAATGCCACCGGCAGAAAGCCGCACAGCGTGGTTCTGTCCCAAATAGCAACCACTTGCAGCGACCTCTTCAACTCCGCGGGCACGGGGTTAAGCAGACCATCCTGGCTGCAGGGCAAGTACATGTTGGTGAGATATGAAGACCTGGCGAGGGAACCTTTCAAGAAGACCGCCGAGATTTACCATTTCATCGGTTTGGACGTGGACAATCAGGTTAAGAGATGGGTACTTCAGAACACCAGAGGAACAAGTAGCTCGGTAAGAAATTACAAGTACACAACCACAAGGAACTCATCAGCCACTGCGGAAAACTGGAGACTCAACCTCTCCTTCCAGATTGTGCAAACAGTCCAACAGCTCTGCAATGACACTCTGAACCAACTCGGCTACCAACTGGTGCGGTCACTGAAGGATTTGCGGAACCTGTCTAACAGTTTGGTGGAATCCAAGACTTTTGCTCCCTTCCTATAGCCCCGTCCTATGCGGCCATCATTAGAATGATTAACTGGCAACCTCCTGAAGCAGAGGGGAGATAAGTGAAGCCCATTCAGTAGGGGGAGCCAAAAACTGTGGCTGGATATTGGTCTGGGTTCAGGGTGGTACACACTGGTGACCCAAGTCACATCTACAATTAGCCCTCGAGGACCCATTTACAGCCCATGGCTCCAATTAGACTCCAGAAGAAACTTGTCCAGTCCATGGGAGCAACTTTGGGCTAATTGAATCCCTAGTAGCAACACGGACGAAAATCAGGAAGGAGAGAAAGAGGGAGCCGGGAATTGGGAGGGAGAGGGAATAATCAGAAGGGAGAGGGAATGATTGAAGGGAGACAGAAGGATTAGATGGGAGAAAGGGAGACAGCAGATAGTGGAGAGAGAGTGAAAAGGTTGAGGAAGAAGACCAAAAGAGTAAATGAGTTTTGGAGAGGAAGAAAGAGTGTATTGATTTTAGAAGGGAGAGAGAGAGACTGGGGAGAAGGAGAAGGTGAATAGGAGAAAGAGACAGAGAAAATTAGGGAGGGGGCAGTTGGAAAAGGAAAAAGAAGGAGAGAGGTAGTCAGGCAACATTAGGAGGGAATGAAAGTGAGAGATTAAGGGAGAGGAGAATGATGAGAAATGAGTAAAAAACAGAGTGTGCGAATAGGATAGAGAAAGAGAGAGTGAAGCTCTGGGGAAGGAGAGCTCGAAATTGTTCCTCTCAATGGGTCATAAACTTGTCTTTCATTTCTGAACTGTTACTGGCATCCTACTTTATAGCTGAGGCTTCTATACCAACAGGACATACTCTTCATAGTAATTAATTATGTGAAGTATCTACAGATGTGCAAATAAAAGATTTTATCTTATTTTAGTAAGAGAGAGAACTCAAACAGGAGATATTTGGTGATTTCAATCTTGGGGGTGGGGGAGGTTGCACCTTCTGCAAATGAGCCTGACTGTAATCTTATTTCAATTAAAAAAGGATTGATGTTAAATCCAATGTTACTTTGCACGTGGCTATGTTTTCACCAGTATGGGTGCATGACAGTGTATTTATTATCTGATGTTATGTGTGAGCCAATGCTGCTGGAAATGACAATGGAAATTAATGTTTAAATAAATGTCATATTCCTTTTTATTCATTTACAAGATAGGCAAATCACTGGCTGGACCAGCATTTATTGTCTATCCCTAATTACTCTGGGGAGGGTGGTGGTGAGCTGCCTTCTTGAATGGATTCGGTCATAGGTAGACTCATAGTGCTGTTAGGGAAGGAATTGCAGAATTTTGACCCAGTGACACAGAAGGAGTGGTCTTATGTTTCCACGTCAGGATGGTGAGTGACTTTGAGAGGAACTTGGAGTGGTGCCATTCCCATGTATCTGTCACCCTTGTCCTTCAAGTTGGTAGGGAGCAAGTTTGGAAAGTCTGTTGAAGGAGCCTTGGTGAGTTGCTACAGTGCATCTTGTGGATGATATACAGTGCTGCCGCTGTGTACTGGTGGAGGAGGGAGTGAATGTTGAAGGTGCTGAATGGGGTGCTGATGAAGCAAACTGGATGATGCTGAGCTTTTTGACTGTTGTTGAGCTGCATCTATCCAGGCAAATGGAGAGCATACCATCACATTCCTGACGTACGGTAGACAGCTTTGGGGAGTCAGGAGGTGAGTTACTCCCTGTAGAACTCCCAGCCTTTGTCCTGTTCTACGGTTTTTATATGGCTGGCCAAGTTCAGTTTCTTGTTAATGATAACTCTCAAAGCTTTTGATGGTTGGGGTTTCATGGATGGTAGTCCCAATGGATATCAAGAGGAGAAGGTTAAATTTCTCCCTTGTCAGAGATGGCACTTTTCATTGCCTGGCACGTTTGTGGCTCAAATGTTACTCATCACTTGTCAGCTCAAGATTAAATATTGCTCAAATCTTGCTGCACATGGACAGCTTCAATATCTGAGGAGCTGTAAATGATGTACAGCATTGCACAATCATCAGTGAACATCCCCAGTTCTGACCTTATGCTGGAGGGAAGGTCATTGATGAAGCAGCTGAAGATGCTTGGCTCTAGGACACTACCTGACAAACTCCTGCAGTGTTGTCCTGAGCTGAAATGACTGACCTCTAAAAATTACAACCGTCTTTCTTTGGTGCTAAGTGTAACTACAACCGGAGAAGAATCTTCCCCCCAGTTTCCATTGGTTGACGATAGCACAGTGTGGAGCTGGAGGAACACAACAGGCCAGGCAGCATCAGAGGAGCAGGAAAGCTGACGTTTCGGTTCGGGACCCTTCTTCTGAGGGTCCCGACCCGAAATGTCAGCTTTCCTGTTCCTCTGATGCTCCTGGTCTGCTGTGTTCCTCCTGCTCCACGCTGTGTTATCTCTGACTCCAGCATTGGCAATTCTTACTATCTCTGTTGGTTGAAGTTTTGCGCAGGCTCCTTGGTGACACCAAAAGGGAAACTGCGGAAGAAATTCAATAGCATCTGTGGAGAGAAAGCAAAGTTAACGTTTCCAGTTCAGTGATCCCTTTTCAAAACCTCCTTGACAACACACTTGGTTAAACATGGCCTTGATGCCATATTTGGAATACAGCTATTTAGGCCATAAATTGAGGTCATTTTCTGAAGAAGGGTCCAGACTCAAAACGTCAGCTTTCCTGCTCCTCTGATGCTGCCTGGCCTGTTGTGTTCCTCCAGCTTTACACCTTGTTATCCCTATCATCAACACTGTCCATAGCCCTCATTATTTTATAAACTTCTATTAGGTCACTGTAAGATACCTCCTCATTCACTTTGCTGACGACTATTGGCTGGGTAGGATTTGTTCTAAATTTTGGACATGTTTCCAGATTGTTGGGTAGATACCAGTGCTGCAGCTGTCTTGTTTCTGTGCCATCACGGAATGTTTGCAATATCCAGGGTCTTCAGCTATTTCTTGAAATCAATCACCAAAATGACCAATTGCTTCTCTTTTATAAAACTACCCAGAATAAAAGATACCTTGTCACCAGGCTTAAACTAATGAACTCAAAATGATCTGTTTATGATAACAGAACCTATTTTTCAAACCAGTGGCAAACGCCTGGGTCTGACTTTCACCTAACTCCAGAATTCAACTGGTTGATCAAAAATAAATGCCTCTAAGCTCAAAGCACTCTGTGATGCAATAGTAGTTCCCTGCCTCTGAGTTAGGAGGTCGTTGGTTGGGTCTGGTGCTGGCGGCAGTGAAGCGGTGGCAGAAGGGCATCATGGCAACGTCGACAAGCTGGGCTGAGGCGAGAGATGTGACTCTGACGTTGGTGGGTCCAACGTAGGCAGCGGCGGTGAGGCAGTGGCTGAGGAGAATCGGCCCATCTGCAGAAGATGGTGACCTCATGTTGGTTGGGTCTGGCATCAACAGCAGCGAGGCGGTGGTGGTTCTGAGCCAGCCTAGGACTCACGTAGGGGTGAGCAGACTGTATATGGACTTCTCTTTAGGCCATATTATCTCATTTCTTTCTTATTCTTAAACTATTCAAAATGACTTTGGATCTTGGCGACGAATGAAAGCTTTTCACTGTAGTTTACTGCATTTTTCACTGTAAAATACACATGACAATAAAATCATTCATTCTTTTCATTCATTTATTGTCTGGGTTCAATTCCCACCTGCTTTAGAGGTGTGCCATAATATCTCTGAATTGATTGATTAAAAATATCTGAAACAAGTGGCAAATGCAAGTGAACAGCTAAGTTATGATTCACTACTAAAACTATATCCCCTTAATCCCAAACATAGAGACTCTCTAACAAGATGACAGTCTTACAGTGAAAGTGTTTTTCTAAAAAGAGGCAAAATAAAAAATAAACACATCTGTTCATCAAAGGTCTGAAGAGAAAGGATGGAATTTGATGATTTCTCATTGCCCACTGGGTTCCTTGTTGACAAAATTGAATTGCTCACAGCCATAGACTGATGGGAAATCTTCAGTTTGGACTAAAATCAAACTGGATCCAAATCTTTGGAAAGTGGCCACAGTTCAACTTTTCAGGGTTCGTATAGTAGCCAGAAATACTCATATTTGGAAACTGTATCAGGTTCCCAGAAACTCCTACTGAAACACAGAGAGGAATGTTTCTTTTTTACTAATACTTAAGTCTGTAAAAACTAAGTTCAGAAGGAGATGCTAAAAGACATGAGCATAAATGCTGCACAGTCTTTTCAATGCCAGTTTTTTTCGGCCGTTAATTGCCATAAACCCAATTTCTTATCTCCCTCAAAACTTTGCTTGTCTCTTCTCCAAAGTTATTTGACTTTGTATAAACAGCAGGTAAACCACTGCACGCATGAAACTTAAATTAATTTCCAAAAAACCTCATTGTAAACCTGTCTCAATACAGAAAATGTCCAATCAGTTCTGTATCTTCCAGTTTTCCACACTGCCCTTAAAAAAACATGCATTCCCAACAATTCATATGTTCATACAAATATTTATTCAAATGTTACATATGTTGTGAATCCTTTGACTTGCCTGATGGTCAATCATTGAGTATATTGAGTAATACCTGGAATACCTGGAATCAGGAGGTTCCCTTATGAGGAAAGATCAGACAGATTAGGTTTGTATCTGTTAGGTGAGCAATAAATAACTTGTTTAAAGATATATAAGATCCTAGGGATCTGAAACAGCCTGCACGAGGATAGGATGCATCCTCTTGGAGAGCCTAGAATGAGGGGTAACTACTTAAGATAGGAGGTAATCCATTTAAGAATGAAATGAAGAGAAATTGCTTTTCTTATAGAGTGTTATGAGATTTTGGAACGCGCTTCTGCAAAAGACAGTGGAAGCAGTGACTTTACATATTTTTAAGGCAGAGGAGGACAGATTCTCAGATGGAGCAAGGGGGTGAAAGGTCATCAGGAAATAGTCAGATCAGCTGATCATATTAAATGGTGGAGCAGGCTCAAGGGAATGGTTCAAATGCAAGCTGGTGAAGCTGGGGTAAAGGATTAACTGTGATCTGATTGAAATATAGAGCTGTCTTGGATGGCTGAATAGCCTACTTCAGGTTTACACTGCTTTAAGAGAGTGCTGCGAGAAACCCGGATTTCTGAGTGTCAACTTCCCTTTCCATTTGATGAATTGTTCCATCACCAATGATCTAATAATAGTTGGAATCAGATAGAATATGAGATCCATTTTTCGGAGCAAGTCTATCATGCAGAGAGGGGAACAGAAAGTACGGAGTGATCATACAATTGACCATACATACACCTTTGTCCTTAGGCACAGATTTGACAGAAGTGTATTGTAAAACAGAACTAAACACCAAATATTACAGATCTAAAGCCTGACTGGAAGTCAGGTGAACTACTCAGTTTATGTTGGCTTAGTAAGAGTGCGTGCAATATGAATTTCAAGGTTTGCACTGTACAATTTGACATTTAATTTAGTCTTAAGAGAAATTAAATCGTTTATTAAATTTTCCACAAAATAAACTCCAGATTTGCAAGTAGTTATTTGCATTATGTCAAAATGGACCATAAGTCAATTTAAAAATGTACATTGTGAATTTAAGTTCTGAGTTAAAATACAGCGACTGATTTTGTTTTGACTGACAAGACCTGAATTCAGTTTGCAACTTCAGATAACCTACCAAACACTTCCCATCTCCACAATTTCACCAGCAGCTAAAAACACATTTCTAAAACTCTCTAAGTTTGCACAGTTTAATTCTTCCTGCCATTGTTTTATTTAATTTTATTCATTCATGGGATGTGGGCATTGCTGGCAGGACCAGCATTGATTCTGAACTGCAGTGAATTTAATGAGGTCATCCAGGCAGACTTCATAGAATATGAGTTCCCTGATTGGGGCTGTTAACCTGGTCCAATCAGGGAGCCCTGGATGACAGATAAAAAACAGGAGTGTCAGACGTTCTGTTCACTCCGAGAGCTGGCACTGAGGAAG